TTTGAAGAAGAAAAAAATATAAACTTAGAAACGCATACTTTTGGAACACCAAGGTTCCCTTGAAAGTATTTAATTGACAGTCTAAATCCACCATGTTGCTACTATAATTGACTTTATTCATAAGCCTATTTTCCTACTCTCTTACTGTATTTGTTGTGGCATACTAAATCTAAATTTCTGCCATCTGTTTATATCCCACAAATTATGTCATCAGAGAATGCTTTCCTTGCCATCCTTCCCTTATACATTCATGAGGGATGTTAATCTAATCAATTCCCCCTCACATCACGAATCCGATTATGTTGGTAACAATAGCCATTATAACGAAGCAATGAAGCATTAATCAAAGGCAAACATCACTTTTGATTAAATGATATCGCCGACGTGCAACTATTCGACACCTTAAAGACCCTACGATATAATTAAGGCAGTTCATATTTAATTTGCAAACTCTGAGGTTGCTATTCATGGTTGTCGCCTGAAGCTGACCGCTTGACCTTTTGTAAAGTACCTACCTCCTCCTCCTACTCTGTCCAATCAGGGAGGGGTCCAATGATCACCGTGTGACCACTACATCCAAACGACGCATCATTTCTAATGCACCATTCAAGTACATACAGACACAATTATATACAATCACCTGCAAAAAAAAAAGCACACATCTGCGCACACATACAAAGACACAGGCGCATATGTTTTAAAAGCTCAAAATTATCCCAGACTTCTAATCATCTTTGTTCTGTAATTAATGTTAAGATGGATCTGCTGCTAGTTTCAGACAGTTGATATCACTTGGTAGTCCATAGTTTGTGATTTAAGTCAACGCAACACGATTCAATAACATCTGTCCAATCAATGCAATTGTTCTGATATTGACAAAAAATCTTTACATTACGAATTGTAGTATTCACAATCTCTCATTACCGGGGCGTATCCCTGTTTTTGAAAGGGGCACAATCTGAAAAAGTTTATGACAAGACGACACAGTTATCACAGTTTATGTGAAAAACAAATTTGAATATTTAGACATCCAGTCTTATGATTATCAAAAGAAGTTCATCTGCTTGGGCTTATTTGCCATACTTTATTCACAGACTCGTAAAGCGTTTACATATCTAAATACATCATGATAATCAAAAAATTGGCCCATACCTTAATTATTTGCGTCAAATCTAATTATTGTAGCAGCGAAAACAGGAATGTTATAGATTCAATTACATCTGTCCAATCAATGAAATTGTTCTGATTTTGAAAAAAAAAATCCTTTACATTACGAATTGTATTATTCACAATCTCTCATTAAAAGTTAGCCGATGAAATATAGAGCATAAAGCTATGAGTCCCCGGGATACCTATGTCGGCTGCTCCCAATCAATTATTGGCGGGAACGTCAAAGGCCACATTCCGCTTACATAGCAACCTGTTGAGAGCAGACGATCAGGCAAAGAGGCGCCACCAGACGACTCTATTTCATTCATATCTCAGGATTAGTCTGCTTCTACAGACAGTGTTTATTATTGTCTCGCGCAATTTTCTCAAAATCATTTTATGACTCAAAATGTTTTAAAAAGTACAAAGAATTATGAACAAAAACAAAATCGTCACAAAGATTGTTAAAAATGCACAATGTTTAAAAGTAGCGATCCAATAATGTCTATTAAAAATGGTAGAAACAGCGCACGGAATAATCACAATTATCGAAATTTGATGATTTAAGTCACCTACTCATTAATCCTCGGTGACGCATGAGAGTTTATGAGATTTATCAATTTAAGGTTTCATGAGCTCTGTTCCAATAAAAGGAGAGAAAATGAGGTGGGTGTAACGTAAATCAGAACACGTGGGAATAATGCGGTTACTTCAATTGAAATTGGTCTGAAACCGAATATCGCGGAACGAAGCCGCCGAATAAAATTAAAGGAAAAACACGCCCTAGGGATTATAGTCGTAGTGGACATGGCCAGTATGTTCGATCAGGGACCCACCTCCCTGGTTCGATGTTAAAGGTTAAAGGCTATCACCCACCTGTATGCCCGCTGTACACTACACGAAGCATAATCTCTGTTGCGTTATTATGGAGGCCTGTGGAGGCACTTTGTAGTTGCGCCAGTTATTCATTATTATTAGGACTGTTTTAATTTAGGCATACACTTTGTACAAAGTCTCTCTGGTGCCCATAACACATCAAGAGTCATTGTAATTGCGCTATTACCTACGCTTAAACATTGATCAAGCCAAGGCAGTTCGTACATGCGTCAGTTATTCAACACAATATTCGCACTGCGTATTGAGCTTACAAGTATGTACGGGATCGCTCTAGAATGCCTGTTACACGCGAGGCGTCATCTTGATTGCGCTATTAGGGACTTTTAGAATTGCACGTTGACAGCCTTGACTGCAACGTGTGACGTCATTTTAAGGCACTGCGCATGCGTCACGTCGTCCCAGTCGGCGATCGAGAATGCGTCAACCTTGATTTTCCTAAATCTAGTAAGGTAAT